ATATCGCTAAGCAGTTTTGACTGATGTGGCACCGCGTCAACCGTCTTATGTGGTGCCACGTCACCACCAGGAGGTAAATCATTCTTCAGGTCAGTTAGACATTATTAAAAAAAATATACAGATAACATTTAAAAAATGTCCAAATATTGTATTAAAAATGTGCATTTAAAATACTAAAATATGATTTAATCTTACAAATTGTGTTTTAACTCAGAAATATTGCAGTGACACATGCTGAGCCATTTAGCGTTGAAGGGACTGGGTATACCCTTTTACTAGTGGGCAGTAAAAGGATAAAGGATTTTCTATCCATACCCTACCCATTTAGCATTGAAGGGACTGGGTATGAATATCCAGTGACAGGTATACCGGCTATGCACACATCCGTATGTGTATCTAAACTAGATCTGCATAGGGCACATGTCCTCTTTTTTCGAAAACATCGGGCACATTTCCTTTAGGTCAAATAACTAGTGTCCAACATCCTTGGTGTACTCCGCCAACAATATTCATTTCGATGCAAATGTACTGACATATCAGAAGCGCTAGCATGCCCGCATCACACAATAATCATTCATTTGGACAACTCAAGGATCGATTGGCTTAGCCAGTTTCAACAGAATGGCCACGAAGAATCTAGAAATGTTCTCGGGAAGGAGCACGTCTGGGGGCACATTTGGGGCTGTTCTAGATTGGTAAGGACACCTTAAATGCCCACAAATGTCATCGAGAAACTTGCAAAATAGAAGATATAGGGGTTGGCCTCTACTACAATAATAAGCTTAGGAGACATGGGTGTCCTAGATGGGACGCCTATGAAAATACCCACCCAACCCATTAAAAACCCTAACTGCATTCCTTAATCGTAGAGCTAGCTAGCTTTATCTACTGCACACCGCCGACACCTCATCTCACACTCAGCCTCCCCACCCTCTCGATCTCTAGCACCCACCCATGACCACTGCCACCGCCTCCACTGAAGTGCTCCCTATCGCGAGATCCAGAGAGATGATCCTCTGCCCTTTCCATCTCCCCTTGGGTCTTCTCTATGATGCGGCGGAGGAGGAGCAATGAGATATAGCGGTGGGGAGGAACTAAAAGCAGTGACCCGGCAAATCAGGCCTTGTCCCACCTGCACCGATGGTGCTTCTATCATACCTCCACCTCCACTAATGCCTGGCCTTTGATCTGATCCTCTTGTTTTTGGTTGTTTGGTTTGAAGGTGGAGGTGCTATTTCATCTCCTGCCATCGTGGAAGCCATTCCAAGCATGCTGTGTCAGCTGGGTAGGTCTCGGGGCAAAAGCCCTTTACGAGCCCTAGTGCTCCGATCGTCGATGGTTGCGTCCGTGGATGCCACTTCCCTTCTTGAAGGCATCGATACAAGCACACCTACTTTCGTCTGTGTTTGGCGCGACCTTGTGCTCTCTCCGGTTGCTCTCCCACCCCCATCATGTTATTGGTCTGACTACCCTCCTACCCCTTGGCTTTTGCACACACGGCTTCCTCTGTCGTTCTCTAGCTCACTTGAGTGCTTCGCCTTATCATATGCTGGGTTACAGGATCTTGATCTCCTCCCTTGGATCTCCTCATTCTCCTCTTGATGATCCACCCACTTTGAGGCTTCCTTCCCCCAAATGGTGTAGGTGGGCGTCGGTTGGACCCTAGATGATTTCATGGGCAATGCAACTCATGGCTGCTACCTGTTGGCTCCGACTCAATGCCTTACAGCAGCATGTGGTTTAGAGTTCTTTAGAGTCTGTCTTTGGTGGTGGCACAGGTCAGGAAGTAGTACTTGCACTCACTCCGGTTAGTAGGTTGTGCCGGTAGCTGAACCATTTTGTTTTCGTTAATGTTGTAATCCTTCTCTCTCCCACTTGACATATTATTCTCTGACCTTCAAGGGTCACCTCTACATTAGGTGCTCTGCACTCTCCATTCCCGGCCTCGCTGGTATCAGTGGAAAATTATTCAGGTGGGGACCTTTCGTCCCCTGTCCCCATCCCCGTCCCCACCCCCCCTCCGCCGGTGATGTCTTAAAAAATGTGAAGGGACCAGTGCCACAATAATAGGTAGGCAGATCATCGACATTTATGGGTCTGATAGCAACGGGTGTGGAAGAAATGGTATTCTGCCAGGGGTATTTAACTTAATAAATGGCGGGCACGAATTAAGTGGTGAATTAATACCTGAAGTGGGCCTCTTTGGATGTCAGTTTCAAAATACACTGATAGCCGGAATGTGTAGCTTTAGAACCAGAGGTGTGGAAAGCCATGGCTTGGAGAAAAGTTCAGACTAGGGATGTTAAATCAAACAGGCCATGGATTAATTGATAATAGTGAGGGTTGTGGAAAAAAATTCCACAGGGGAATAATGCTTACCCAGTTGTAATTTGGCTAAACAGATTGTTGTCAGGGAAATGGACTAGACTACATCTGATGCATCAAACTGCACATGAGGGGATTGAATCGTGGGCACTTTATATAGGTACTGGTATATGTATCTATATATGGTAGCCTACGTAATTCACAAAATATAAGTATCTCTATATGGTAGTCTAAATATACGGTGATTGTTTTCCACAAATATAGGAAGTGATATCACGATAATGTTGCTTTAGAAACCATAGGTGTGAGAAACAGCAGCTTAGAAAAAACCCCAGGCTAGGATGGAGTTTTTAAAATTTCAAAAACACATTATTTTTGTAATACCGTAGTTTCAAAAAATTATGCTAAGATTTGTTGAATCCAAGAACCTCATTGTTTTCCAAAACCAAATTATTTTGAAAAACTGTACAGTTTTCCAAAACTAAATAAATTTATATCCATATAGGGCCTAAGTTGTGTTAGAAATTATTATTAGGAGGGTGGTCCTATAACTTCAGATTATAGAGCAAAGTGTGACTCCTTTCATCAAAGTTGCATTTCACAAGGAAACTCAAAAGTCAGAAAAATCTCCATCTTCACCACATGAAAGATTACACCTTTAAAGTGCCACTTCCTTGTTGTTGATAAAGCAAATATACTAATCTTCATAGTAAACTATGGCATGACCTAATCAGACTAGGTCAGGCTAGGGATATTAAAATTAAATCAAACTGCAGGCCAGGGATTAATTATTGATAGTGAGGGGCGTGGAAGGTCTAGACAAGGATAAATAATGTTTACCCGGTCCACATGGCTTGATGCTATGTGAAATTTTGGCTTAATACATTGTTGTTACAAAAAACAAGTACACTACATCTGATGCATGGAACTGCAGATAAGGATTAAATGTTGGACACAAAAGGGAAGCTTTATTTAAAATAAAGTTTTAACCTTTGTACCAAGATGCTACACAGAGTCATTACACATATAGCTCAAGATATAGTTGTACTCCCCCACCATCAATTTCATACTGTTAGATTTGATTCCACATCAAAAATTAATGGTAGGGGAGAAAAGCATATAAGGTGGGGCATCCCTCATCTATTAGGCTAGTCTTTTAGGTTGAGCTAGGCCCAAGGCCTTGGTATGTTCTGGGCTCCGGTGGACATAGGCCTGAGGAGCACCGATTTGTGTGGGTATAGCGGGCTGGGTCAGATACTCTACCCACTCCAACAGGAGCAATGCACCACCACTCGTGGATTCCTGGTCAATAGCTTGTGGAGGTCACGTGGCATTGAGGTTGGCAGCTTCATCATTTTTACCGGCGGGACTAGAGATTTCGGGGTGGGGGCTTTGTCGGTGGAGGAGATGTGACAAGCAACTAAGACAGAAGGGAAGGGGGCATGCAAGGTGAAGGAGGGAAATGAGTGAGGAGGGAGGGGGTCAGAGGTGGGTGACAACTGGCGTTGATGAAGGCAAATAGAACTGGAAGAGAGAGGAGAGTTGGGGTGCCGTTGGTGGAGCCTAGCCTAGGTTCTAATGCAACTAGGATGGGTTAGCTGTGGACTTTCCCCTATTTAAAGCGACGGTGGGGTAAGGAAGTCCACCTCTGAAAATGGGCTGGTTTTGGGGGCATTCTTCTTTACCCATCCACCTCTACAAATAGATATACAAAGGCTGTTGTTGGGCGTGAAGCCTCTAGTGAACTCTAGAGATGGTAGTTTTGGTCTCCTAAAATTGTTTATGCAGTGTGGTATACATTATTATGGTAGAACGGGAAGAGGGCCTCAAAGCATAACAATTGCAGCATGCACAACCAACAAACAAAAATGAGATAACAAAAACAAAAGGAAAGGAAACACAGACATAGCAATAAAGAAAGACAGATGCAGAGTGCACAGAGTTAACTATTTTCTCCTTCTACTAAATCCACTGCATTATGGTTCCATTATAATTGAGTAATTCCCAGCATATCTCAGCTGATGAGATACAAACAATATCACTTATACGAGACAGTGAGACAACTAAACTAAGACACAGTTGCATAAGTTCCTGATGTCGAGCATACGTACTTCACTACTGCATTACAAACACATAAACAATAAGGACTATTAGAATATGAAATAAAGATCTTTATGTTATTCATAGCTTCGCATTTCTAGCATTTAACACTAAGACACTAGCTCTCGAGGATATCTATGCTTATATGTTTCTCACAGGTTTTGCTTTTCTTTCGGCTAACTCGAGTTTCCTTTTCTTTTCGCATCAAATCCATGAGAGAACTTTTGCACCGGATGGGCACATGGGCACCCCATAAGTCGAGGTAGTGAGTGAGCACACCTAAAAAGTTCCCAATCTTCCGATCCTGTCCTCAAGTAGCTTTCTATTTGTAGGCCCCCAAAAGTTTCTCTCAGGCTCTCATGTTTGTTCTTCGTTTGTTTATGCTTGGCTTCTCAACTTGAATGCGTGCAGCCCCATGTTTAGACCTCCAAATCATTTGGTATACTGGATGCTTCACCATTGTGGCAGAAGTAATCTCACGGCCTTTGCTAGCATAATCTCTTCCAGTTGCTCCAAGGAGATGTCCGTATGCAAGACATGTTGTTGACCGCCATCTATCTCTACTGTTTGAACTTTTATTCCTTTGGTAGCATGTCTTCGGAAGAGCCATGGGGTGCAAAAGCAATTCCAGCTTTTAGATATGGAGAATTTTGCAGAGACATTGTGCCTTCAGACAGTGAGGTCTTTCGCTGGATATAAACTGAATGTGACACCAGCCAACGCAAATTAAATTCAATTCTTGGTTCTAGCGAAACATCCGATAATCCTGCGTTTAAGTTGCTAAAATATGGAACCTCATGTTGTTGTTGCTGCTTGCAACATGACGGGTTCAAGCGAAACCATTGAGATGCAAAGTTGTGAAGGTTGTACAAATGTTCTCTGTGGTATGAATAGGCAAATGGCACCCATGAGAAGTCTTGAGTAGGTAGTTGAGTAAGTTCGTTGGTAATAGTTTCAACTATAAATTTGACATGAGGGGCAAACGACTGCAAACTCCTAACTGCAATCCCAACTATGTCTGTACTCTCTGAAATCTGTACTATCATACTAAAGAAGATATTACCCTCTGTTGTACCATCTTTCTTTATAAATATTAGGAAAACCTCTGTTCCTTGCTCTGCAGTACTAAAGGGGATCAACCATAGTTGACACTTGTAATGCTGTTGGCCTCCTCGAACAATTTTATGGTGAAGTTCCTTACCTGCCAAAAGATTCTTGATAAGGGCGCCAAAGGGCATGACGTGACAAAGTGGTGTGCCACCAAGCTCTATGAATCTCAGGAATTCACTAGCACCATCTGCATACCACTCAAATCGTTTAACAACAGAGGGGTTCAACTCATCAGTGTTGCGGTTAAAGATGGAGAAAACAAATGACTTGGTAGCATGTCCCATCCGTTTAGGAATGGAGGAATTCCTTACCTCCTGTTCCCTACGTTCTTCTTCGAGGATTCTCTGCTTATGTTTGTGCAGTTTCTCATCACACTCTTGTGCAGCACGCTTCAGCTTCTTCTGCCAACGCAACACGGATGTATCAGTGATCTGCCATTTATTAGAAGTCTCAAGAGCAGCTTCCAGCCTGATGTGTGCCATCTCTAGCCTCTCTATGTTTCTCATTCCATTTATTTCCTCTTTCTCCTCATATTTTTTAACCAGGCCAGATAGTATTTGGCTAAATGACTCCTGGATAACTGCAGAACTGACGATCTCAGCCATCAGGATTCAGGAATCTATAGCTTTGCTTCCCTGGTAAGAAAAATCAACAAATTAAAGTATGCATAAGAGATTAGATATATCAGCTTGCATCAGAAGCAAAGATTAGCTGTGTGGTTGTAAGAATGTACCCTCGACCAAACTGCATTAAAAGTGGGGACAACCGGACAGCTGTGATGGGTACAGAGAGCAATATTCCGGATGCTAAATTGATCTGTGGAATAATATAAGATCAGAACTTTTAGGAAGTGAGAAAGAGGTAGGCAGGTCATTAATAAGGAGGGTCGTTTCATCAAAGAAATGTAGACTGGTCGTGAACACTTACGGGACTAATAGCAAGGGTTGTGAACAGTACTAAATTGAGAATTGTTGAGTTCGGATCCTTGCTTGAATCCACTGAGGGGCGTAAGGGATCAAGAGGTGGGAGACATCAACGGACAAAACATGGATCGAAGAATAAGGCAATAATGTGGACCATAAGTCTTATGGTACAAACAGCTTAGGGGGCTATTTATAGGGAGAAAGAATGGTTTCTGGGCATTTTAGCCTTTTCACATCACGGAATCACCTACTATAGGCTCTATGACGTGCCATGTCTGCCCTAGTCTTCCTTCATGGGCTGGACCCCATCGGCGATGGACATCACTGCCCTGGAGCTTCATTATGCGTCTGAATATAACTGGTCAGCATGAATCAGATGGATTATAACTTTTATGTGGTCTGCAGTAGTACGTCCGAACGAATGAACTTTTCTGCCATTACCGGGCATGCATCCAATTTCTCGTACTCTTTGCCCTGGAGCTTCATTATCTCGCCTGATCTTATACCGCGACGCATGGCATACCGGGCATGCATCCAATTTCTCGTACTCTTTGCCACGGTATAGGATGCAGTCATTAGGACATGCATGTATCTTCTCTATTTCTAGCCCCATAGGACAGACAACTTGTTTTGCTTCGTAGGTAGTGGCGGGCAATTCATTGTACTTCGGAAGCATCTTCTTTTGGATTTTTAGTAACTCTCCAAATCCCTTGTCAGATACACCATTCTTTGCCTTCCATTGCAGCAATTCTAGTGTGGTTCCCAACTTTTTCTGCCCTGCATCACAAGTTGGGTACAACAATTTCTTGTGATCTTCTAGCATCCGCTCGAACTTGATCTTCTCCTTTTCACTTTCACATTCTCTTTGTGCATCACGAATGACCTGACAAAGATCATCAGCCAGCTCATCTTCTGCGACTACCTCTTCTTCAGCTTCTCCCATTGCAGTATCATTGAAGCACGCACCATCAGGAATAATATCATTGTCGTCCCATTGTTCTTCTTCATCTTCTTCCATTACAACACCGGTTTCTCCGTGCTTTGTCCAACAAATATAGTTTGGCATGAAACCCGACTTGAACAAGTGTGAATGAAGAGTCCTTGAGCAAGGATATTCCACCGTATTCTTACATATGGCACATGGGCAGCACATGAAACCGTCGCGTTTGTTTGTCTCGGCTGCACGTAATAAAGAATGCACGCCGTCAATGAACTCTTGTGAGCGGCGATCAGCATTATACATCCAATGACGGCTCATCTGCATTACATGACATAAATATCATATTAAAACCTAGATCATAATTAATTATTTATACAACATGCGTGCCACCACAAAAGATACAAATTTATGAAAGCATCGCTACAATGTAGACAATCCCAACTACCACTAAAAGAACTAAAGCTAAAATACATTTCAGGAGCACAAGGATTTCGCGACCAATCTCAACTAAAACAGACAGATCCCCGATTGTGCAACATCTTTGGGCTTCTTGGCTGGATCAACGCCTCATTAGCCGCCCGTGATTCTCTGTTGTGCAAGATATTTTGCACGAGTTCAACATACTCTTCCTCCCAAAGAGAAGCCCTGAACATCGCCCACCGCCATCCCATTGAAATTAAAACAAAAATTAGAACTTTAATCACAACCATCATGAAAATAGGTATAAACTAACCATAATCATTAAATACGATAAAATAACTCACATTGCGATCCGGACACTTGTAGAAGATACGATCCTTGTTGGGACCCTCCTTCTTCACTCGGTACTCCATCACAATCTTCATCTCATCACGACACTTGCCGCATGGAATGAGAGGAAGGCCCGCCTAAGTCGCTTTGGAAACCCATGAGAGGCCGAGGACCCGGAAGCGATTGCCATCTACTCTCTATACTCATTTTTAATACACTATAAATTTCTTCTTTTATAAACAAATAAAATTAACAAACTATAAAATTATCTAGATCTCTAAACAATGATATTTTTAATGGTCATTGTGTTCTCGTCTTCTTTATCGGCGGTAAGTAATTCATATGATATTTTCGCAAATTAATGTAAGAATGGGAATGTACACACATAATGCAGACTACTACGACGATATCGGGACGCGTGTGAATAAATAACCATCCATACTAGTTGACCTTGCTTACATGATCATCTCGGCGAGCATTTCTCCACCGGACGGCACGTGTGCCTGGCCACGGAAGAGCTCCAATTCTACGAGGAAGGGAACACGGTCTTCCACGACCGCTGCCGCTCTCCCTCGTAGAATCAAAGCTCCTCCTTGACGTCCGTTATCATTGGCAGAAGAACGTGTTTCGCCGAGATGAACACGGTCCGCAAGTTCAACTAGTATGGATTTTCTATAATTTTCTAACTATTTTCTAAGTTTATATTTATATATATACTACGTTTGGGTACGGTGATTGAGACTCTGCGGCGATACGATATCGGACATGTGAATAAATAACCATCCGTACTAGTTGACCTTGCTTACGTGATCATCTCGGCGAGCATTTTTCTCCACAGGACGGCACCGTGCTTGACCACGGAAGAGCTCCAATTCTACGAGGAAGGGAACACGGTCTTCCACGACCATTGCCGCTCTCCCTCGTAGAATCAAAGCTCCTCCTTGACGTCCGTTATCCTTTCGGCAGAGAACGTGCTCGCCGAGATGAACACGGTCCGCAAGTTCAACTAGCTACTTTAACCTTATTTCATGTAAATATGCAAGCTTGAAGTGATTTTGAGCTCAAATTGCTTACAAATGAAAAAAACCAAAATAAAGAACCATATATATATATAGTGAACAAAATGAGATAAGACAATGGTGAAAAATGAGAGTATGAGATTGGTAACCTTTACAACTGAAGAATCGACGGAGGAATCAAAGAAATCGATGGAGGAATCGAATAATGGATGGAGGAACAATGGAGGAAGGGAGGAAGCAAGAACACTACTGCAGTGAGCTTCAAAATGTGCTTTGAGCTCGGGCTCGGGAGGAAGGAGGAGACGGCCGATTTATAAAAGGAGAACATTTAGTCCCGGTTGGTGGATCCAACCGGGACTAAAAGGTAACTTTTCAACCCCGGGCGCAGCCACGCCCGAGTAGACCTTTACTCCCGGTTGGAGCCACCAACCGGGAGTAAAGTATATTTTAGTCGGTTGGTGGCTCCAACCGGGACTAAAGGTCCCTGCCACCTACTGTCTCTGGGCGCGAGTAGCCGTTGGGTAGGGGACCTTTAGTCCCGGTTGGAGCCACCAACCGGGACTAAAGGTATCTCTAGTCCCGGGCGCAAAAAATTCCGGGACTAGAGCCCATTTTAGCCGAGGATCAAAGGTCTGTTCTCTACTAGTGTCAGATGGATTATAACTTTTATGTGGTCTGCAGTAGTACGTCCGAACGAATGAACTTTTCTGCCATTACATATAGGACTAATCGGGGCAGCTTAGTCAATTCCAGTGACTATACGGTCCACCCTGCAGATTAGGCAAAGGTTATTGTCAATTATTTTTCTACGCATACTTTTTCGATAGAGGTTGCTGTCTAATATTAATTTTTCAAATTCCCGTGACTACACGGTCCGCTCCCCCACACCTCCCCTCCTTGAATTCCTTTTTTCCTCTTCCTTCCGATCGGTTTGGTTTTTGCCTCGTCTCCAGCAGGTCAGATCCATCCAGACTTGGGTGCTGGCTGGTGCGATCGCACCTTGCTTGCACGACTGCTGCACTGCATCCCATCCACACGACCACACCATTGACCATTCACATCACAGCCATCCCAAGCCCAGGCATGCAGGCGCTGCACAGCTTGCCGTGCCGTATCGGCCGCTCCGACCAGTATAGGTGTGCCGTGCTACAAAAACTACGACAGCATGTGAGCATGTACTCAGATGGATTATAACCTTTATGTGGTCTGCAGTAGTACGTCCGAACGAATGAACTTTTCTGCCATTACATATAGGACTAATCGGGGCAACTTAGTCAATTCCAGTGACTATACAGTCCCTGCAGATTAGGCAAAAGTTATTGTCAATTATTTTTCTACGCATACTTTTTCGATAGAGGTTGCTGTCTAATATTAATTTTTCAAATTCCCGTGACTACACGGTCGGCCTTGGTTTAGGCAAATTATTTTTTCTACTGTACCCGACAGTACTAGAATAAAGATCATTACCAGTTTAAGAATAAACTCAACAGTAATAATATAAGCGTCACTGCCCAGTTCTACCATCTAACATCCACCCGACAATGATATTGTGTGGACCACCTTCCGATCCGGCAGTGGCTTAAACCGAAAGTGACCTCAGCTCCATTTTTTCCATTTTCCTATATACTTTTATATTACATTTCAATAGAGGTTGCCATCTAATATTTTTTACATTCGATGTTACTAATGCATTATATATATCTCCCTGCCATCGTTGATGAATATATCATAATTAGAAAGGGTGCTGTTTTTCTACTCCAGAGAGTAGTTAATATACACACACATACATATATACTTAATAGGTATAGATGAAGTCATTACAAACCAAAATCTCATTACTACAAAACAAGTGGCGCACAACCACTACTATAACTGGTTATTACATGCCATAACATAGTCTGTATAGTGAGAGTGCCCGATTATGTAACCGAGGGCATTATTTAAGTATATCAATCAATGATGGGATCATGGGC